AAATCAGGAGGGGAAAATGTATTACATAGCATTCCAAATCAATTCATTTCCTTATAGGATTTATTTTCTGTAAACTATATGGACATGTCTGCCTGGCTGTTCATTTGCAGTGTAGCTAACTTCATCCATACCATCCTGCCTTAAAATTACATAATCAGGAAACCCTAATCATGTGGTTGCATTTGTGAGTAGTTAGGTTGACAGGAATTGAGTAAAGGCCTTTTATTAGGTGGCTCCACATTTCTGCAATGCATTGCTGCTTATGGTGTTGGTGGATGCCATTCAACCTCTTCTCTGAAAGTATTCAAGAGGGCCTTAAAAACCTATCTGCTTTCAATGACCTTCACTTGAGATTAGGCTTTTTCTGTGAGGTTGCTGATGAATTTTAGTTTACACTTGAATGAATTAGTTTTGGGACTGATTAATTTTAGTTTGAATTTGAATGTATTTAGCATTAGGATTATATGTGTTAGTTTATATTTAGTTTTGCGAATGGCTGGCGTTAGGTCCCAGATAAATGCACTTATTAGTGGTTTTTTAAATCCAACTTTCAATGTGAATTTTCAAAGCAATGTTATATATAGAACTGTAACAATAAATTAATGCAACAGTATAACAATGAAAGGCAATAAAACTTCAGAAAGTATAGGTGAGAAGGAAGAACTTAACCTGCTTCTGCAATGAAGATTGAAAAAGACATACTTGGACATCTTTAGGAGAGCATTCTAATAACTGTGGTGCCAAAATCTATTCTCCAGTTTCTCAAAAAAAAAAAAAAAAAAGGTTTTTCCCTTTACAGAAGAGGCTACTATTTTTCTGTCTCATTCTTGGGGTACTTGAGCATTTCTTTAGAATTTTGAAGAGGGCAAAGTTTTATTTTAGCTTCCCATTTTTAACTTTTGCAGCACTCTGCACCCTTTGTGGCTATTCTGATATGAAAAAGTCCCATGAAAGGAGTTAGCTCATTATGTCATTTTCTGGGCTCTGGTTGATGCATGAACACCCAGGAAGGCTGCAGAATCCAGGCTGGTGAGATGATCAGCAGAATGAAACACACAATAACCTCAAAACCAAGACAAATGCACAAAACCCCACATCTCACTCATGAAAATTTCTGCAAAAAAGAAAGAAACCCATTTGATAACATTTTATGTTCTCATTAGTTGATGGAGAATGATGATAAAAGAAATGTGCAGGATTTTTTTCAGTGCAGCACTCATTCTACTATTCTTGGGCAACATCAGAAAAGCCTGCCTGGTGCCTAGGGGCACTGTCTAACCAACCTCAGGTTGTCCTCCTGCCTTCCCCATCTCACTGCCTTCTTACATAACATTGACCCAGGAGATGGCTTTGCCTGCCAGGTTCTTCCTCCTTAGTCTCAATGTTGCCTTTGTAGAACTCAACAGGAAGGGCAATGAAGACAAAACTAGTATCAGTTGGCACTGCCTGCTCTGGCTCTACCTACTGTTGGCCTCCATCCCTTCCACTCTACCAGCCCCAGTGGGCAGCAGGCACCAAAGCTGAAGACACCATTGCACATGGAAACATAGGTAGGACAAGACATGCCTGAAGATATCCTGGACTCCATTGGTTACCCTTCTTATTACGGTTTTGTTTGAAAACCACTTTGCATGATAGAGCAATTACCAATATCTGTGAAAGCTAGTGCATTGCTTCTTGACAGTACAATGGGTAGATACCAGCATCTTCTTTAACAACACAATCCAATTCACAGCCAAAGAAGTATAGCTCTAAGAAAGACAACTGAGACTCCCACTAAGTCAGGAAAATTAAAAGGCAAACAGAACTGAAGCTTATACAACATCCCAAGAAAAGGTGTAATTTGTTTGGCCTCTGTTTACATAATGAATGTTATATCTTGTGCTCACTTGCTGTGGAAGCAAATGAACATTCCAGGCATTCTGGCATTAAAGTGCATCAATGTTTTGTTGTAGCGTTTTTATTGGCTTTGCCATTTATGTCCAAGGCATTTAATATATGTTGCAGAGTGATGGATGGGTGCTGTCTAGCAATGGCCCCTTACAAATTAATTTTTCTGAACAAAATGTTTCACTCTGCTGGTTCTGGAAATGAGTAGGTGTTTTTTGCATCAGTGATCACCAAGTTGTGTCTTAAGCAATAGAGGGTGTCAGAATCCCTATCCATGTGGGCATGTGCTGGTCTCACACACTGGACGAATCCTAGTGTGTAACTATATATGGTTGAAATATTAGTGCAATTGGCCTGTTACCTTGAATTTTGAGGTTGGATACATTTGGTAGTCCCAGGCAACCATTGATTTTTCAAGTGAGAAACTTTTTTTGTGTGTGTGTGTTTTTGCCACCAGTATATGGGAACAACTTGTCTGATGTGATCAAATGAATGATAGATTCTGGTCACCACAGTTTTTACTTTGCTTTACCTTTTTAAACAGTCCTAGCTTTTTCAGACACATATGGTGATGTGGCCATACTGGAAACTAAAAGTTTTACTTGATTCCCAACATTTTTGGTAAATGCATTTGGAAAATTCTCCATTATTAAGTCCATTATTAAGTCCTGTTTCGGGAAGCTTTTAATGTTTGATGTATTATAGTATTTTAATATTCTTTTGGAAGCCGCCCAGAGTGGCCGGGGAAGCCCAGCCAGATGGGCGGGGTATAAATAATAAATTATTATTATTATTATTATTATTATTATTATTATTATGATGATAAAACCCTGTGTCAGAGCTGGCACTCGAGTCTGCCCCAAATGGAAATGAAATGGGACAGACACGAATGAGCAAATGCAAAATTGGCATGGATTGGAAACAAATGGAAAAAAATGAGGTGAAAGTAGCCATATGCTGATAAAAGTGCCATGGGCAACAAAGAAAGTGGTGATGGTTCTCTGTACTAGTCAGTAACATCACAAAAAGCACTGGAATGATCCATCTATCCCATCTTCCCACTAGGAGAAGGCCAAAGACAGGGATGGAGAGCCTGTGGTCCTCCAGGTCTTGCTGTGCTACAGCGCCCATCAGGCCTCAGATACCATAGCCAATAGTCACAGTGTTGTAGTGAAGCAAATTCTGATTCCCAATGCCTGGCCAAGGTGAAGCAATTTCAGGGTACAACAACAACAACAACAACAAAAAGGGAGCAGGAGAAGCGTTCAGACTCCCTCTACCAGCTTTTAAGTCACCCTGCCTATTCTAATAAGGATTTGGAAGTCACACAATTTCTGGTGCATTGTTTCTTCTTTGGCCCTCACAAAGGAAGAAAAGCTGAAATGTACAGATGTTTGTGACTAGAATTGCATGGCAAGGAGGATCTAAACTGCAAAGAAATAGCTACTTTTGGGTTCAATGGAGAAAATAGTCATTCAGGAGGGATTAACTACTGATGAAATCCAAAGTGATACAGAGGAAATAGAGGTTAAAAAAAAGATCCCTGCAGAAGGGATTATCTCAAATAAGTTCACATCATTTAGTCATATGGCATTTCTGCAGCCCCATTATTATGTGAACAGTTTGGATTGTGCTACATAAGCTGTAATTGAGGTGAAAGAAGGCTTGAGAGGAAATGTCCCATGACAAAATATCACCTTTGCACAAATGATGGGAAGCTGATAAAGTGGGGGGGGGGGGGGTTTGTATGGAATTGCTACGATTCAGCACCAGAGTGGGTTCATCAAAAAGATCCAGTCTGTTAAGAATTAGATTGCACTGAGCAAATGTATGAAAAAAGTGAGGCTGAATTTCTTCCATTTTCCTCTCCTTTGTGGAAAAGTGGACCCAGCAACTTTAGCAACCACTTAATGAAAAATGCTGATAGTAGTAGTAGTAGTAGTAGTAGTAGTGATAATAAAAATAATAATTATGATAATGACAACAGCAGCAACAGCGACTAGTTTTTTATGAACATCTTTGGCAGTCTTTAACAAGATATCCATTGCAAAATTTCAATTTTAGTGCTAGGCCCAAAACTAGCCACACATTTTCTTGTCTCTGTTCATTCCCTGTGATAATTGTGAGGCCATTTCCTAGCTGCTTCCATGGAAGTGTGGCAGAATTTTTGTGGGGGAAGGGAGTAGGGGGTTTGTCATATCACTTACATAACAACTGTAAGAGGTGGCCAATTTTACTGCTGTGGTTTTCTTTAGTGAGTTGTCTAGTTAATCTTTCTTTCTAGTCTTTAGAAAACTTGTCTTGCACCGCCCACAAGGAACAGCAGTTTCACTCCTGTCAGCCACGCTATGTTACATCATGACTTCCTCCTGCTTTCTACATAGAATTGTAGAATAGCAGAGCTGGAAGGGATCCAAGAGTCATCTAACCAAACCTCCCGCAATGCAGGGAGTGTGCTAGTGTGGCGTAGTGGTTAAGAGCGGTGGACTCATAATCTGGTGAACCAGGTTCGCTTCCCCGCTCCTCCACATGCAGCTGCTGGGTGACCTTGGGCTAGTCACACTTCTCTGAAGTCTCTCAGCCTCACTCACCTCACAGAGTGTTTGTTGTGGGAGAGGAAGGGAAAGGAGATTGCTAGCCACTTTGAGACTCCTTGGGGTAGTGATAAAGCGGGATATCAAATCCAAATCCAAACTCTTCTAGCTGGGATCAGAGCGGGCTGAAAATATTTTAAAAAGAAATGCAGTGCACTCTAGCACTTGATAAGAAAAATGAGAAACTGACTTATACTGAGTTGGATCATTGGTAAATTCAGCTCTGTATGGTCTATGCTGACTGACAGTGGCTCTCCAGGCAGGAGCCATTCCTAGCCCTGCCTGGAGATGCTGGGAACCCAACTATGAAACTCATCTTCAGCCAGTCACCAGTGTAACTCTCAGTGTAACCCAGCTTACAAGGCCATTGTCAGGATGAACATTGTTAGGTAGAACCATGTGCACTACCTTGAGATCCTTGGAGGAAAGATAAATATAATAATATATAAATAAAATGAAAATAACATTATTCTGTGGCCATTCTGAGAAGGGTTACTGTTAGACAGAGGCTACAAAGTCTGATAGCTCAGTTGGTTAGACTGTGGTGCTCATAATGTCAAGGTTGCAGGTTTGATCCCTTGTATGGGACAGATGCCTATTCCTGCAGTGCAGCGGGTCAGACTAAATGACCCTCAGAGTACCTTCCAGCTATACAAGTTTATTATTCTAAGGAAGTTTAACTGCAGGTATGTGACAGGTGCTTTAAAGACCGAAAGGATGACACCTGTTGCAGTTACTATGGGTCATAGGATAATAAAAAGACAAAAAAAAAATTGTTTTTAATGTAAGTGATTTTGCATTGGGGTGATACTAACCTATCCTAATCTTTCTGCTTGACTGAAGGTAGAACAAATGCTTTGCAGGCCAACTGTATCAGCTGTATTTAGCTAAAGGGTTAGACAGTGAATGGTGACTGACACATCTGATTCAGGCTTTAAAGAGGCCCCTCCAGTCAAAGTAGACAAGATGATCCTAGATGGATCAATGATTTGATTACTACAAGGCAGTGCCAAATCTCAACCTAAAACAGTAAACATCTTGTGCTTTTTAATTGAGTTTTCTAAGTTTAGCTTACAGCTAGTAAGAGAACAAAGACAGCAATCTTAACCAGGAATACTCAGAAGTAAGTCAATGGAGCTCATTTCCAGGTAAGTGGAGTTAGCACTGTAGCCGCAAAGGCTGAAATGGGTGGAGCTAAAGATCTAGTCGCAGGGATGTCCAAAGTTTGTTTCGGGGGCCTAACCCGCTGGTTGGTTTAATCCAGCCCCTGTGACAGTTTATTTCCTGGGGTAAATTCCTTAAAAAAGCTCAACAACTTCCATCCTAGAAAAAGGTTAACAGCTTTGGTTGGCCCTTTGGTCGGCCCTCACGGCCCTTCACTTCATCAAATCTGGCCCTCTTTGAAAAAAGTTTGGATACCACTGAAGGGTTAAAGTCAAAGAGTTCAAGAGAAGCAGAGAAGGGGGTGCTGGATATCAGCAGTTTCATTTTCTCCTGTGCTGCAGAGTGTGACTACTGGATCACATGCTCTCTGTGTTGACATTCTATTCTTTGGAAGTGAGGGAACGGAAGGAACTGTGCACCACTTCCGTCTATTTGTTCTTTGTTCTGTTCTGTTGTTGTTTTCTCTCGGAGGACCCCCCCCCCCCCATTGCTGCTTCTGTTGGAAAAGGAGTGACGTTTAAGCAGCCCGGTTGCCACACCCCTTCCCATTGTGTCCTGCCCCTTTCCCTGCAAGGGTTCAGGTGAGTGCAAAATGCCTTGGAGCGCAGCAAGCTTTGGGGGGGGGCTGGGGGGAGGATGCAATGCCAGTGGGATGATGGAAGGGGAGATAGTAGGCAGGGAAGCTGCTGGGCAGGTGGGGGAGGGAAAGAGACCCTCCCCCCCCAAAAAGAAGGGAGGTGGATGTGCAGCTGAAGTCCCCCCCCCATTGCGAGTATTCTGAATAGCAATATGGATACTATAAACACATGCAGAAAGACAAACGTATTTTACCACTCCACTTCCCATGTTAATCACAACACTATACAACACAATACAAAGCAAATACCTTTATTGGCATTTCAAGTTAAGACATTTCAAAATGGCATGAGATACAAAGTCTTTCTTCTTCCTGTTTCCGAGAGATTTGAATGGGGAAATCTTTTTGGTTTTTCTTTAATAAGAGGCAGTGGGGTGAGGGAGGCCAGGGCCACATCCACACCATTTAACGCGCTATGAAGCCGCTTTAAACACTCATGGCTTTCCCCCCCAAAGACTCTGGGAGCTATAGTTGGAAAAGTGTGTGGAGAGTTGTTAGGAGACCCCTTGTTCCCTGCCAAGAAGGGAACCCTACACCTACCCCTGACGCTAACCCTAATGCTAACCCTAATGCTAACCCTTAAGCCTTAACTAGATCTACACTTCCCAGAGTTCCCTGGCAAGAAGGGAACCCTAACCCTGCCCCCTAACTAGAGCTACTATTCCCAGAGTTCCCTGGCCTTCTGGTGGTTCCCTCACTGTGAGAAGTGAGATTACAGAGAACCAGGCAGAGGGCCTCCTGAGTCGCAGCGCCCTCCCTGTGGAACTCCCCCCCATCAGATGTTAAGGAGATAAAGAACCACAAACTTTAAGGAGATACTTGAAGGCAGCCTGTATCAGGAAGTTTTTTTATGTTTGACATTTTTTATATTTTGCTGGAAGCTGCTCATGGTAGCTGGATATAAGTAATACATTATTATTATTATTTATTTAACTAACAGAAAAATTATGAACTAAGTGCACGAACAAGATGTAGCATGTGCACCATTTCATGTTTTACTGGAAAACCTTGGGTCACTGTTAGCTGGTGGGCATGGCCTTGGGGGGAAATTCCCCCTTGAATCTGACTTATGACTTCAGCACTGCCACTACAGAGTAACAGTGTCATCATCATTTCACCATGGCAACCAGCTGCTTCATTTCCACTTATTTGAAAGGCAGATCATTGAGTATTTATTTTATTTATTTATTTTTGTATATAATATTTATTAAGTTTTCCATTTTAATAATCCAAAAAGAACCACATTAAAACATTCCAAATTACAATACAACACAATCAAAAAAGTGAAATAAAAATGCCAAATTATATATCTTTGGGGGGCATCCCAAGCTCTGAATTTTGCGGAGTGCTAATAATCTAATATCACATTGCATTTCCTAATTAGTCAATAAACCATTCCGATGTTAATCCTTCACTTAATTTTCATTTATGTTTACAACCACTGGTCTGTTCAAACTTTTGTCTTCATAGTTCTGTGTGAAATATTTCCCCCCGTTGTCCACATTCCAGCAATTCCATTTTTTATTTCTGCCAACAGGAGCCATAATACGCCACAGTCCAAGACAAAAAGACACCATTAGCTCCGGGCAACCATCTAGAATTCCCTACCGTAGTCCCGCACCATCTCCCAACATGCTGGTACCTCTGCAAAAACAAAGTAGTTCCAGTCCAGAATTTTTTCCTTCCTTCACTGAGGAGATAGCAGCAGTGTTTATTCAAACCCACTTGTGTATTTCAAACCATTACCTTTTGGGGGAGGTTTACCAGGTAAAACTTCAAATACATATATATCAAAAGAGAATATAAAAGGCTCACCTCCCTCTGGGGCTATACAATTAATCCATCAATTAATGCAACAAGTGGGGCAGTCCTTTGTACTGTTGTTTCTGCTCCTCAGTGATCTTTACTTTCATTTTGTACACAGAGGTATTTTAACTGTGTCATAAAAAATGGTAAAGGACCCCCGACAGTCCAGTTACAGACAACTCTGGGGTTGCGGCGCTCATCTCGCATTACAGGCCGAGGGAGCTGGCACTTGTCCACAGACAGTTTTTCCGAGTCATGTGGCCATCATGACTAAGCTGCTTCTGACAAAATCAAAGCAGTGCATGGAAACACTGTTTACCTTCCTGCCAAAGTGGTACCTATTGATCTACTTGCACTTTGGGGCATGCTTTCAAACTGCTAGGTTGCCAGGAGCTGGGACTGAGCAACAGGAGCTCACCCCATCTTGGGGATTCGAACCACCGACCCTCTGATTGGCAAGTCCAAGAGTCATAGTCCACCATTAATCCTGAGCAGATATCCAAAACTCTGTCTTGGCCTCCTTCCAGCTGTTAATGAGATGATCCCTCCACACTGAAATGATAGCTCCATCAGGAATTCCTTTCATCTTTCCCTTAATGATCATTGCCAGAATCATAGTCAAAATTTCACACAGTCCGTTTTGTAATTAAGATAGCATCCACTTAAGCATTTCAAGCCATTGTGTTTTGGTCCTGACAAAAGTCTTTTCCCAGACTTTTGTCAGTGGCTGATTAAATCAGCAAGTTATTTTATCTCCGCTGGTTCAGAGCATGCCTGTTAGTTAAGTCCGAATTTTTATCTTAAAAAACAGGTGTCCTTTGCTCATGGCGCCAGCTTTGGAGAGTTGCCACAACTGTGTGACTTACACCCAGCGGCCCCTGCCCCCTCTTCCTTCTGGAAGGGCAGCAAGTATGGGACGATCTGTGGGTGGAGTGCCCCCCCTACCCAGGGAGGGTTGGGGGGATAATTATTCCCATATTATCCTCAATTACCAGCATGGAAGGGCTCCGGTGTAAGTGACACAGCCGATCGTCATGGCAGACAAGCAGGAAGTGCGAAGTCACTGAGTATTTAAACACTGAAGCCCAAATGAAGCTTTTATTTTCTTTTATGTCTCAGACATTTGAGAGCTATAGATCACAAACTGGTGAAAGAACATTTTGTGAAAGCCAATAACAATAACAATAACAATAACAATAATTTATTATTTATCTCCTGCCCATCTGAAGTGCTCCATTTTAGGTTTTTATTTCAGTGGACTCAAGCCAGGCTTAATTCTTCTCTGGATTGCATTGAAAGCTTTTGAACTCCCAGAACAAGCGCTTAAACCTTTTAACAGCTCAAGTTGTATCCAAACGGTGACATTATGCAAGACCAAACACCTCGTTTTCATTGTTTACCTTACTCAACTGCACCTGGCTCCCCCCTGAAAATCAGCTGCTGGGGCTGAGAGCAAGACACAAGGAAGTATTTTCAGAGCTGAACTGCAAGAAACTTACTAAGTGCCTAGGAGCCCTAAACAGGCAGTTAATATTACGATTCTTCTGCCTCGCATACACTGAAATTATACCCTTATGTCTCTAATCATTCAGCTTTAATGGCCTTAAAAGACATTTTGCAGGAAGAATCACGAGTCAATGGCAGAAACTCAGGGATCTATCATGCTTATTCAGAGTTTAGAAGATTGGAGAGTAGAGTGAAGCATCATGGAAGGGACCCGAGGGTCATCTAGCCCAACCCCAAAATGCTGTGATCACATACCCCAGGCCTTCCAAAGCTGAAGTTTATTATTCCTCCCACCAAATGGCCATTTATTATTATTATTATTATTATTATTATTATTATTATTATTACTTGCCCTTCATCCGTAGATGTCAGGGATGGGGCTTATGGAAGTGGAAGTTCCAACTATCTCTGCTGGACATCCGGCTCCTCATCCCTTGCCTATAGGATACCCAGCATCATAACCCTAGTTAAGTATTT